TGTATTCATACACATATGATACCTATCACTGATGTGACTAAATCATTGGTGGGTTATTGTCATGAAGTAATGTCATTGTGAACTAATGTTGAACTCATATGGGGGGAATATGTAATATGAGCTACTTCTAATATTATTTAGAACAATCTTTATTATGTGGAACATTATTTCAGCTTAATGACTGCCTAGAGTTGTAACTGGTCTATATTTTGAAGCATTTTGGCATTTGTTGGTTGTTTTCCACTTAAGGTATCCAGGTGAAAATACAAATAGATTTTCTAGTCTTGACTGACTTTAGAAACTATCCTTTATAGTTAGACTGTGGGAATCCAAGAAAATTAACACTAAAGTTTGCAGAATAAGAGGATATATTGTTATATTAATGGGTATCTAAGCAAATATTTTTAGATTTATCTGGTGTGGCCCAGAATTAGGACTGTATTTTTTTTTTCAAATTGAGATGAGCAGTGTGACAATGACCTTCATAAATAAATGACTGAAGGGGCAAGTGGTGAACTTTACTTACAAACAGAAAACTTGCCTTGTGATTGAGTGCAAATAACAAAGATAGAATGATTTGGATGACTTTTAGAAAACCCACAGCCAGTTATCAAAAGCATCATGCATTTCCCTGATGATTAATGATGTTAGTTTTTTTTTATTTGCTGCATGTCAAATAGTTTAGATTTTATTCTGAAGGATATGGAAAGTCACTGATTTTCGACAACAAACTACATGCCAGGATTTGCATTTTAGAGAAACTTCTAATGCTAGTATGGGGAATATGATGAAAGCAGGTAAAACTGGAGAGACAAAGTCATTGCAAAGTTAAGGTGGGAGAAATAAAGTCTTGATGTAAGAAATGGCAGTGGGAAATAAAAAGGAAGTGAATGGTTTAGGATATATTCTGTGTGTGTGTGTGTGTGTGTGTGTGTGTGTGGTACAATGATATGTTGAATGGCATTCAAAATTCTTATTTGAGGAACCAGTTAGAAAAATATGCCACTCAGTGCAATTTTACAAGTAGCCAGTATAGATAGAGAAGATAAGATTATTTAAGACTTGTATTGAAAAATTGTACAAACCCATTGCAAAAACTAGGTCAACAGAAGAAAAACAATTAATGAGAGTTAAATGCTATCCCAAATCTTAGAACTCAGAAATATTTATTATTAATGCTGGGGATTTAGCTCAGTGGTTCTGTTGCCTGCCATGCATGCACAAAGTCCTGGCTTTGATCCCCGGTACCAAAAAAGAAAAAGAAATATTTATTATTAACTTGTGGTATACTTAATTCCAGTCTTTTTATATAGAAAAATATATAGATAGAAAGATAAATTTCAAGATTTCTTTAACTTTAGATGAATAATTCTCCACAATAAAGTATATTGATTTTTTAAAACTCCTTTTAAAATTAAGACAAAAGATTAAAGAATGTCAAGAATGGATCTGGATCTATAACTACCTGTTGAATCTCTAAATAGTATCCTACAGGTCTAAGCTTAGCTTTTTAACATGCTGAATTCAAGGTACTTATGGAACATGCATATGCAATTGTCATAGATTCAGGGCATTTGTTATCTTGAATCTAGAGTGAAATCAGGATGAGAGACACTGATTCAGAAGAAGTTATTATATGGAGAAAGTTGAAACCACAAAGAGATAACACAGGGTTAGTAGAACTGTTGAAGCCTCATGATAGAGCTTTTATATCACTCAAGTATTTAAGGAAGGCCAGATATAGGAGACCTCATTCCCTGAAAGTATTTATTTAGGTAAAAGAAAAAAAAAGATATGATGTTATAAAAGCCAGAAGAAAAAAATAATTTGAAAAAAATTGCACACACTGTTGAATGTAATACAATCAAGAAAGATAAAGGCAGATAATCACCTGTTGAGTGTAGCAATTTGGGAACAGTATGAACAGCAATTTGGTCTCATCATGTACACTTTTTTTTTTTTTTTTCAGAGTGGTGCAGGGGAAGCTGAGTTGCTAAAAAAAATCACAGAGTTGAGAGGGGGCTTACTTTTATTCATGGGAGATGTTTGCATGTATTAAATGAGGGTAAAATCCAACACAGAGGAAGAGATTGAAAGTGGAGAAAGCAGAGCAGATTAGTGAAACAGAAACCTTGAGCAGGTCAGAGATGTGGGTTGCCAGACATCTTATTCATTGTGACCAAAGGTGTACAGGTATGTACACTGAAAATACTGAAATAAGAAAATAGGGCTTTAAGAAATGTCCTTCTGCCTGGCATGGTGATATGAGCCTGTAATCCTAGCCCTCTGGGAAGCTGAGGCAGGAGGATTGTAAGTTCAAGTCCGGTTTGCACAATTTAGAAATTTAATGAGATTGTCTCAAAGTAAATGCCCAGTACCAAACAACAATAACAACAGCAAAAAACAAAAACCCAACAACAACAAAACAAAAACAAAAACACCAAAAACCCCACCCCAAACCAAAACAAAATGAAAAAAAAGAAAGCTCCTCCTAAGTGACATGCTTTCTATGTTAAGAAAAGGGTAAAATAATCTTTTGTGACTAAGAAACTTGGGGTTTGAAACATGAATTTAAAAATGATAAATGTAAATACTAAGTGGCAAAACTTGAGTCAAAAGGAAAGGAGTAGGTTGGGGATCCAGAAAAAGATTGCAGATTGGCTCCATAGGCTCAATCAAAGTTGAAAACTAAATTTCTTCTTGGTGCCATATTTCTTGGCTCTGTGACTTTCTTCATAGAGCTCAGATGTAAAAGTGGAGCAGGTGAAGAGTTAGATCCAATGGCTTCATTCCTTATGCAATGGAAGAGATGTAGAGATAGTAAAGGACAAATAACCATTGATGAGAGACTATTTGAAGGGATAGACTATGAAATTTAGGCCAGATAGGGGAGAAAAAGAGAGGAAGAAAAGACAGATTTCTTTGAAGTTGACTATAGGTAATAATGGAAATAAGAGAATGTGGAATGCATAGAAGAAAGTTGTGACTGGGGAGATGATATTTTATATTTAAGCAGTGGGGTACTTTCTGTTGAAATGAGAAATTTAGAACAGCCAAAAACATTTTGTATATTTTTTTTTGTGAAGGAGAACACAATATGTAACTAGGAAATTCACTGCTTTCTCTATAGGGAACTGTATGTATACTAACTGTGTTATGCACACACTAAGAAGCACATACTGTATAATGATAATGTTTTCTCTTGAAGCTACTGATTTTACAGAGAACAGTACTCCTAAAATTAGAAATCTTTGGCTCCATGTGGGGTAATGGAGATGGAATGAAGGTCTATTATTACAAATCTGCTGCTGCCAATCTAAAAACCTTAAATTTGCTGCTGTGGCATGTACTTGTACACCTAGATACTCAGAGACTGAGGCAGAAGGTTCACAAGTTCGAGGCCAGCCTAGACAATTTACTAAGATTGTGTATCAAAAAAAGGGAAAGGCCTGAGGATGTAGTTCAGAGGTGGAGAGCCCCTAGGTTCAATCTCCAGTACTGAGAACAAATTTCAATTTTACTTTAAAACTAAAGAGATTACCTGAAATGACATTTTAGCAACTTGTTCTTCATTATTTTGCAGCTGTAAAACTTAGCATATTATATGAAGGCATTGTAGTGTCTCTCTTTACCTAGAATTTTTCTGTAAACAATAGTCTTGTTGATTCAAAGGCCATTTCTGCCTAACAAAAGTGGGAGTTTGAATCCCTATCTTATTTTTTTTAATCATTGTTTTCTTTAATCTTAACAGACTCTCAGTAAAAAAATCATTGGATAATTAAATAGCTCAAGTGTGGCTGGGGTAAATCAACAAGTGTGAGGGAGATATTTGACTTATCTGAGATAGAAAACATTTCCATTTTTAAAAAATGTGAAGTCATTTTAGTTACATGAACACTTCTGTATGGAGGCTGGAATGACTGCTCTTTTCAGGTGCATAAATAAATGCCGAAACTTTAGATTATTTAGCTGGAACCTGAGCCATAATCTGCAAGGTTTTCTGTTCTATTTTCAATACTACCTACCCTTCTTGTGTTGGACTAAAGTGTCCTCCTTTATTTTTAGTGTCTATTGGGAACTCACTCTCTCTCTGTCTCTCTCTTTCTCTCCATCCACCCATCATCCAAAGAAGTTTAAAGTATCTGGTCCCTATATATCACTCATAAATAGTCATAAAATCCCACTTCACACATTAAGGGACAATGAGGATGTAATCATGAACAGATTAAATCATGAACCCAAGTACAAGTATGCCTATATTCAATGGCCATAACAACTAGACACAACCTAGGAAGCTTAACTATTTATTTTGAACAGGGGTTTCAAAACCCTAGTGAGGTCAGAGGGCCAATGTATTACTATTCTGTGGTAATTACAAGATTTTTGACTCCAGCTTTGTGATGAGATAATGTTTTGTGTGACAAACCAAGGCAAATTATTTCTTTGAAATCTGGGTCAGAATATCACTTTTCATTTTTTAAAAAAATTTCACCAAATGCAGCTTAAATTAAACTTGTAAGTAGTACAAAGAAGGAATATTCTTATGGAAAAGAAATATAAACTCAGAACACTATAATTAACTGTTTTCATTGTTGATTTAAGAATCAACATTAACAATATAGAGTATATTTTTACAAAACATCGTAAAGTAAAATAATTAAGTGCCAAGTTATGATTTTGATTTCTAAAGCAATTGAATCTTTCCTTTTCCAGAGTTAAAGACTTCTCAAGAAAGATTAAAATAAGTATGCAGTTTTAACCAAATGTTTCTCTAATCCTTTTGAAAGACCAGTCAGAAATTTTTCATTCATGATTCAGGAATAATTTTAAACTATTTCTATAAAGAGGACTTTATATAGAGAGGATTATATTCATTCCTGATTTTTTTTGTTGTTTAACAAAACTTTTCTAATTTTCTCTTGGCTTGAAAGGAACATGAAAGGGGGTTGGAGAGCATGAAGCTTGTTACTTTCCACATTAAGTTAGATGATTTTCTTTTTCAGATGTGTTTTGCATACATTTCCTATGTGTCAGGAAAGCTGAACTCATCACAGAGCTCCGGTTTCTTTTGAGTGAATTCTGAATGAATAATTTTAGGTGAGTTTGCCCTTATCTGCTCCTGGATTTTTATTTGAATCAAAATCAAGCTGTAAGTTGACTTTAGATTTTGATAACCAGAAGTTCCTAACAATCCACCTCGTCTTTAACTCTTCTCTTTTACCTGTATCTAACACATTTATTAACCAGTGTTTTTCTTGTCGTCTCTTCGTCTCTTCTATTATAATGTATGACTGTGCCAATTTCAAAGACCTTATTCCCCCAAATAATCTTTTTTTTCTACTTTTCTTTTGATTGTAATTCAGCTTTTCTAAATAGATGTAGGCTACTGAGCCACATATCAAATATAGTGTCTGGTGGCAGAGTCCCTAAAGTAAAAGCTGGTGAATCAATGAGGATTATCATCTCTGAGTGCCTTAAGATGAGAGATGAGCTAGAGAAAGATGACAGAGACTAGTTTTTTAATGTGTGGAGGAGAAAGGAAAGGAGGTCAGGGTTGCTTAATTTTCACCACAGCCCCTGTGATTAAGGGTACCCTTATTTTCCTTATACCACAGTAGAGGAAAGTGAGCTATAGAGGAGTTAACCAATTTTCCCTGGATTATATAGTTAGGAGCAAGCAGAGCAAGGATTTAAAACTTTTTAAAAAAATTTTTTTATGTTGCTGAGGATCAAACCCAGGGCCTTGTCCTTTACCACTGAATTATGTCTCTAACCCTTGGAACAGAGGTTTGAATTCAGGTGTGTGGCATTTTGAGACCTGTATGTACTCTTCAGTATCATACTTTGTTAACCCAACCAGCTATTGAGAAACAAAATCACAAAAAGAACTTTATATGGGAGCAATTCAAATCTCAAAGGTTATATGAATGTGGAGTTCTTTGCGACACCCAGTGAGGTAAATGTCTGCTCGGGCAGAAAGAAGACTTCTAACTCTGAAGAGCTAGAACATCCTGAAGACAGGATATTTTGCCAACTCCAACAGAGAACAAGGAAGCTACCCAGGGGACAATCAGAAAAGTTAATAACTTGGCCAAATTGTCACCATTCCTTGCTAACCTGAAACAAACCTCTGTACTCAGCAGAAAGCTATGCCTTTGTGGTTACTCAATAAATCTGGGAGTTTGAGTCAGTTTGGTACTTCATTTCAGTGAGGTTCCCGACCTTCCACAAAGATACTTTCTGTCACCTGTGTTTTCATTTGTCTATCAGGGTTTGCTTGTCCAATTCCATCATATGAATATTGGGTAGGTAATTTTACCTTGCACATTAGTGTACAATGATGTCCCAAAAGACTGTATTGTGTCTTGAATGAGAAGTATTACCTCTCCACTGGGTTAAACTCTGGGAAAAATTCATGTGAAAAAGACTTGGAGGAGATTGATTTATATAATGGAACTTTAAGAGGTCTATGTATAGGGGTTACAAGTATTAGTCATTTTTAGAAGATATTCCCATTAGCTATATAGAATTATTTTAGAGATCCATTAATAAATAAGAAGATTCTGTATTCAGAACCAAGAAAATTTTGATGGACTTTCCTTTAAACTAATGTAGCAAAATTATTTTTATGGGCTGAATTGTGTCCTTATAAAATTCATAGATTGGAGTTTTAATCTCTAGTACTTCAGAATGTGAATGTCCTTGGAGATACAACCTTTAAAAAACAATTCAGGTAAGATGACATCATTTGAGTGGGGACCTAACCCAATATGACTGGTGTCCTTATCAGAAGAGCAGAGTAGGGCACAGCCATGCGCTCTCACACAGGAAAGACCTGTGAAGACTCAAGAAGGCTGGCCGTCTGCAAGCCAAGGAGAGAGGCTGCAGAAGAAAACACCCTGCTGACACCTTGGTTTTGGACTGCCACAGCCTCCAGAACTGTGAGAAAATGAAGTTCTGTTGTTTAAGCCACTTAGACTGTGATATGCTCTTGGGTAAGAGCCTTGCCAAGTCTTTGTTACGGCAGCCCTAACAAATGGATATGAGGATAATGATTCTGCTGAAAGACTACCTCCTTTTCCGTTAATAACACTGGTCACTAAAAGTCAAGATTAACCTCTCAGTGTAGTTACTGGATACATACTAAATGATTTTTAATCTTTTTCTAGACTCCACATTCAACATGTTCTTGACATTTTCTTCACTATTTTAATTTTTAATTACCTTGAATAGATTTGGTAAACATTCTAGACCGGTGGCAAACCTATGGCATGTGTGCTGCAATGGGCTGTTTGTATCATTGAAAGCTCTAAAGGGTTTACCATCATTGTTCTAGACCAACACTGAAAAATTCAAACATAAAAGTTCTCAATATGAAAATAATATTTCTAGTAGTTACATTAAAAATAAAAAGAGGGCTGGGGATTTATCTCAGTGGTCTCGCCGCCTGCTGTGCAAGTGCAAGGACCTGAGTTCGATCCCCGGTACCAAAAAAATAAAAAAAATTAAAAAAAAGAGATGAAGTTAATATTCGTAA